TGTGGAGGAGGAAACATGGCGGTGCTGATGGACAGACAGACGAAGGGGCTTCCCTGAGCTGGTTGGTCCAAGAGAAGAGAGTGGAGGGACCAGGGTAAGTGGGAGAGTTGGTCCAAGGCATTTCCTGGACCAGCTATGTCTTTCCTCTCTTCTGGAACTTCTCTGCTTCTGACATGCCAGGCTCTTAACAAAAAACCAGCCTTGGTTTCTGCTCTGCTGGGTGCCATAAATATTCTCCCAAGTGACTGAACGTGGCTTCTTCATTGGGCAGAGTGATTCAGAAAGAACTTCTCTTCCTCCCGTTAAATGTAAATGTGGGTTTTGCACAGCCCCAGAGCCTCCCACCATGCTGATAAATCGCACAGGAGGGCTGCCCTCCCGGGGGCAGGTGTTCTAGAGGGAAATTCTGACCAGTAGCTGCCCGGAGGGCCTCTGTGCTTTTGTGGGGCTGGCCCTAGCCGAGCACCGGGAACCCAAGGTGAGTGTCCCAGCCCGAGAGAGACCACAGCCCCGCCCCGCATGTGCAGCCAAGCACCAGTGTCCTCAGCCCACGGGTGCGTGACCGACTGACTCCTCATGCCCTTGGGGCTGTATGGGACTGCGGAGGTAAGGAATAAGTCACCGTTCTTACACAAAGTGTTCCTATGTAGACGTGGTAAACAGGGCTATCGAAGGAAAATTAAGCGTTTAAGGAGAGGTCCCAACTTGGGGGGAGTCTAATTTAGATTTGAGGGGCCACCAAGGGCCTCTCTGAGGAAGTGGAACTTGAACAGAATTGTCAAGCATGAGAAGGACCAAGCCAAGCACAACATGTGGAGAAGGGCATTCCTGGCTGAGGGGACAGAGGGGTGGGAGCGGCAGCCAGCGTGGCTAGGGCACAGTGAGAAGGTTGCAGGAGGGGATGGGGCCACATTTGTCATGTGAGGGCCATGGGTTTTTATCCCAAAGCCATGGCCAAGTGTAAGCAGGGGCAGCGGATGATCTGGTGGTACCATCAACCTGCTGTGGAAGGCCACAAACCAGAAGCTGATCTTGACATGACTGAACTATTGAATTGTATGATATGTGGGTTATATGCCAATAAAACTGTTGGGGTGGGGTGGGGGGCGGTTACAGAAGGCAAATGATAGATGAGGCTGCAGGCAGTGAAAGAGGTACATGGCTTGAACTGGGAAGGTAGGATGGGGTAGAGTGGGGAGGCTATGGGAGGTGAAGGCCAGGTGAAGGTCAAGAGAATAAAGCCTGAGACAAGTCCAGGATCAAGGATTGACAGGAAAAGCAGGTTTCCTCAGGAGGTCCCCAGCCGGCCTTGGACCTACTCCCTCTAAGGCTCCCAAAGTACCTGACCGATTTGAGGGGTAGCAGGGTAGGGGTACCCTTTGCTAGTTACAGACTACCGACTCCCAGGTATTATTGCTCAAGTATTGTTATTTGTGGGTCAACTTGTTCAAGATTTATTTTTAAGCTTAACTGGGTTCCTCTTAGCTTTGTTACTAGCAGGCAGCTCATTGACTTGTGGATCAACTTAATTTTTTCAAGATTTATTTTTAAGCTTAGCTGAGTTAGTCAACAGCAGCCTTGACTTTCAGGATACTTAGCCTCCTGAGTATTTGGGTATCCAATGAGATCGTCCTACTCGGAACGTTTGGAACTCATACCTCTCCTGGATGTAGGACTTGTTCAGCTTTAGTCTTGCTCTGCCCACGTGCCATTTAGGACTCAACCCGAGTCCAATTCTTGGAGCCCCCTCTCTGCACAGCTCCCTTCTCTCTGGTCCACCATCATGCACACTCCTGGGAGAGGAGACTCAGGAGCCCTGAACTACCATTTTTGCCTCCACATTCCAAAAGTTCCTTGAGGTAGAAAGCCAGGGTGATTCTGAGTTTTGCCCGTTTGTTTATCTTTTCTCAGGGCTCATAGTAAATATATAGTATGTACTACCGTCGTGCATGTTATATATTTTGTCCAGTTTATCATTGTTTATGGCAGGAGGACTGGTCTGGTACTGGTTAGTCCACCACGGTCAGAACTAGAACCGCCCCCCCACTCACATATTCCAAAATCAATGCATGGTATGTTTTGCAGATATTTTAAGATTACACTTCAATGGTGTTACACTCCTCAGATTTTCCCTTTTTCCTTCAATTGTTTATTGTAGATGAAGGGTTAACACTTCAGATCCTCAGCTATGCATTCAACATTTTAATGCTCATATTCTTGTGTGTCTTCCTGTATATATTAAAACCTATCCACATTGCTATATTCATGTAGTCACTCACCAATATGTGTGTGTTTTAATGTTAAGTGCAGGGCACTGGATAGACAGCTGCACAAGACAGAAGTCTCGCTCTCATGTCTAGTGGAGAAGACAGACAGCAAGCTTATAGAAAACATCCTGACTCACTGTCAGAGAGCCAGAGTGCAACAAAGACAAATGGCGCAGGGCAAGGGGTTAGAGTGGAACCAGAGATACTGACCAGACAAGGTCTCTCGGGAGAGATGATAGTTGAGCAGAAGCCTGATTTAAAGTGAGGGCAGGAGCCATGGAGATGTCTTGGAGAAGAGACTTTCAGGAAAGAGGACTAAGTGTGATGGAAAGCCATTTGAGAGTTTTAAGCAGGAGCGTGGCATGATCTCATTTATGTTTTGGAAAGTTCTTTCTGGTTGCTAAATGGATATGAAGGTCAGGGAGGGAGGAGGCTGCTGCAAGAATTCAGGCAAGCAGTGACTGGTTTGGACCAGGGAATAGCAATGGAGATGAAGAAGAGGTCCAATTTGAATTTGGAATAAAGTTTAAAGACAAAACCAACAGAATTTACTGTTGGACCAATGTTATATAAGAGAGAGATTATTCAGAATGATGCCAAAGTTCGGGGCCTAAAAAATTGGACAGATAAAATGAAATTACTCGAGATGGGAAAATTTTGGTGGCGAATAGTTCTGCTTTGGACCTAGTAGGTATAAAAGAGCGATTAGATGATCTAAGGGTGATGTTCTGCAAGCAATTAGATATCATTTCTGGAGTTCAAGTGAGAGGCGGGGACCAGAAAGAGTATTTGAACATCATCAACTAGAGATGGTATTGAAAGCCCTGGGATGGAGGAGACATCCCCATTGGACCGAGGCTGGAGAAGAGATGTGGTCTGAGATCTTCGCCCTAAGAGTTCCTCATGTACGGTCAGCACTTCCGTGTCAGGCATTCCTCCGAAGTGGTTGTCCAGCAGAGGAGGTTGCCAAGAATGGTTCCTGGAGGCAGGAGGAAAGCTGGGAGAGGGTGGCATTCCAGAAGCCAAGTGAAGGCAGTGTTTGACAAAGAAGAGAGTGAGCTCCTCTGTACAGCCCCGCTGAGAGGGCAGAATGGGGGAGTCATTGGAGAGAGAGAGATGCATCCATTCATTTTGTCGGTGGTCTCATATTCCATCTTATCCACAGAAAAGATAACACTTCACCCTCCATGTTCCCATGATGAACATGTAGGCGGCTTTTACAGTACTCTTCCAGTCACAGCTATTGAAGTTACGCTTCTTGACACAGACACTTCTTGACATTGGGCACAGGTGGGGAGTTTCTCCACGGAGTCTATCTAGGGATGGAATCAGTAGATCACCAAGTAGGAGACGCACCATCTCACCCTGCCAGGATAATAATACCACATTGCTTCCCCATGTGGTGGTGCCAGTCTTCCAGGTTCAGAAAAACCCATTGTTTCGCACACTTGCCAACATTTGCTAGGGTAGATGCTTTCCTTCTTGCCCATGAAGAAGGGAACTTTCATTCACATTTTCCTGAGTGCTAATCAGGTTGAGCATCTTAGCCATTTGGGTTTCCTCCTACTTTGACTAGCCTTTTTATATCCACTGCCCAATTTTTCGCTTGGTAAGAGGTCATTAATCTCTAGAAATGAAACCTATCTATTAAACACATGGCAACTATTTTCTCACCATCTATGGTGTGTATTTTGACTTTGTAGAGTTCTTGTCTGGTTAGTCATGCAAAACCTTTCCACTTTGAGGTGGGCAAATCTATCCATTTCCATTGTGTATTGTCTTCATAGTCTTAAAATACGTAGCCCTGTATTTTCTGCCAAGGCTTTGGAATTTTGTTTTACATATTTAACTCATGTTATTATTGATGCATCTGAAATCTATTTTGTGTGTGGTGTGAGGGGGGGGTCAGATTTTGTGTTGGACTGAAGGTGAACACCAGATGTTCTACCTCTGCTTCTCCAGCCTTTCCTATTCCTGTGTAATGCCACCACCTTCACACCCGATGTTACACAGGGGCATGGGTCTGTTTGGGGCTCGCTTTCCCTGTTTCTCTGATCATACTGGCTATTCTTATACTCAGACCAGAACTTTTATCATTTAAATGTATACAACACTTAATATTAAGTAGCATACATTGGGAAAGGGGAGGATTATTTGCTTCCTGCTTCAAAGTCTTCTATTTAAACAACTGTCCATAAAACAGCACTGGCTGAAATTGATAATGTCCCTTTGGCCACTTACCTTTCCAGAACTGATGTGGGATGAGATAGGAACCTGATTACTCTTCTGTGAAGGTCTGGGTATTTTCACTTTTATTACACACACATACACACACATTCCTCCCAGTCAACTCTCCCATCAGAGTTTCAGGTCATGAAATCTCTAAACCATGGGGCTCAGCTCTTCACATGAGCCTGTGGTGGGTAGTTGGTGTGGTGCAGCGACAGAACCAATTCCATTGGTAACTGCCAGGCAGACCACAGCAACAGCCCTAATGAGGCCTGGTGTTTCCTGTTCCCTTGACTGATTCCAAAAATAAAATCACAAGAAACCACCGTGACCCTCACGGTCTCTGAGCTCACACCACGCTCCGAGCACCCCGGGGCCATCTTTACCCCCGGCCTGGCCTAGCCTAGCCTGGGCCTGTCTCTTCATCAGCACCAAGGGGCCCGAGTGGTCCAGACTGGCTCTGAAGGCCATTACCGCCTGAAACTCTTGCTCCTCCATCCCCAGTCAGTCACCCGCAGGGCCAAGGTGGCGCCCGCCGAGAGGATGAGCAAGTTCCTGAGGCACTTCACGGTCGTTGGGGACGACTACCACACCTGGAACATCAACTACAAGAAGTGGGAAAATGAGGAGGAGGAGGAGGAGGAGGAGGACCAGCCGCCAACACCAGCCTCTGGCGAGGAAGGCAGAGCCGCTGACCCCACTGCCGGCCCTGACTCTGAGCCCAAGCGAACCCGAGACTTCAGGACCATGTTGCGGAAGCTCTTCAGCTCTCACCGGTTTCAGGTAGGTGGGGCAGAAGCCAGAGACACCAGGGTGGGGCAAGAGCTCTCAGCCAGGGTCATGAGGCCTATGGGGCCATCGCAGCCAAACACATGCCGGGTGCCCACAGTGTCCTGGGCGCATGGTAGGCAGAGCCCACAGAGTGTGTGTGGGAGTGGGAGTCAGAATCGACAGTGCACGGAAGGCCCATCCACAGACAAATGGCAGAACAAAACGTGGTGTATCAGACAGCGGAAGATCACTCAGTCGTAGCAAGCACTGAACCCTGCTGAACACCATGACTGAACCCTGAGAGCAGTGTGCTGTTAGAAAGTGGGCAGTCACCACCGACCACATTGTCTAGGATTCCATTTTCACGACAGACATGCACAGAGCAGGCAAAGCCATGAGCACAGACGAGTGGGGCGAGAAGCTGGAGAGAAGGCGCGTGCGCGGGGGCAGGACTGCTTTTAACGGGTGTGGCATTTCCATTTGGGATGATGGGAATGCTATGGACCTCAGGAGGGGAGACAGCTGGACAAAACGGTCAGTGTGCTTAACGAATTGTACGCTTCACAATGATTGAAGTGACCGTTTTTATGATACACGCGTTTTTTTTGTTGTT